TTTGAGATATCTTTTTCAGGTAGTTCAGACACAAACCATGACAGCTTATTGTAGAATACTACCTACACTGGACCACCACGTTTGAGATATCTTTTTCAGGTAGTTCAGACACAAACCACGACAGCTTATTGTAGAATACTACCCACACTGGACCACCACGTTTGAGATATCTTTTTCAGGTAGTTCAGACACAAACCACGACAGCTTATTGTAGAATACTACCTACACTGGACCACCACGTTTGAGATATCTTTTCAGGTAGTTCAGACACAAACCACGACAGCTTATTGTAGAATACTACCTACACTGGACCACCACGTTTGAGATATGTTTTTCAGGTAGTTCAGACACAAACCACGATAGCTTATTGTAGAATACAGGACCCCACATTTGATTTAGTAACTCTGGCGATTTCTTTTTCAGTTTTTCCAACAGCGGTGGAGTATTGTGCGGAAGTGGTAAAGATAGCCATGGAAAACAAGTTAGTGATTTAAGAATATTTATCTCAGATGAAATTGCTTCTGCGTACTTAATAATTTAACATCTTTTCTGTACCAACATGTAGATGGTTGTAGTGTGGGACACATCCCGATGTGGTAAATCTGGCGAGGTCTCTGTCATTGCCAAGGCTCATACGGATGTGGATATTTCTAGGATCAAGATCGCTCCTTTTGATGATACAAGGTTAGAGCATTAGATTTCCTCCTGTAGTAACACTGGATCAATCGTTGAAGGCTCTTACTGGCGCTCTAGGGAGAACACTGCAGATAGAGTTATCCAGTATAAATACAGTTACAGTACTGTAGGTTTCTTCCTGTAGTAACACTTGATCAATAGGAGATGATCCTTACCGGACCTCTACAGACAACAGTCTAGGAAACATAGAACTATCCAGTTTAAATAAAGTCAGTTAAGTTCAGATTTCTTCCGGTAGTAACACTGGATCAATAAGAGATGACACTTACTGCATTTTTAGGGAGAACAGTTTAGAACGGACAGAACTACCCAGTATATATGAAGTTAGTTTAGGTAGTAGCTATTAGTAATACTGGACAAAGAAGCGATGATCCTTACTGCGCCTCTACGGAGAACAGATATAACTATCAACTATCCAGTTTAGATAAAATGAGTTTAGTTAGTTTTAGATTTCTTCGTGTAGTTACCCTCTCAGATTGCTATTTCTCCACCTGTACAGGATGATATCGTGCGGTCGTGATAATATAAGATTTTGGAGAGTGCGACATGCTTCATTACGTTCTTGTCCAGTCGACCTTGGCAGCCATCACTCGATCGAGTTTACTGACTTTTGTTTTGGACACGAGACTGTAGATGGCAATAATAAGAAACAGAGAGTGATGTAAGTTGATGAATTCATGTGAATCACATGTGGGGCCCAGTCTAGGTAGTACAGTATTCTACACGTGTAAAAATCTCGCATCGTGTAACAAGTCTGTCAACAAGCCGTCAACAAGTTGTGTTCGCATTGCTTGTCTCAAGTTGTCAACAAGTTTGGAACAAGCTGTTAACAACTTTTAACAACCTTGTTGCAAGGTTGTTCCAACAAGTCAGATACAGTCATGACATAACAATATTGTTACAACCTTGTGTCGTCAAACTTGTAACATTCCTGTTATATCATGACTGTATCAGACTTGTTAGAGCAACCTTTTAACAAGTCTGATAATGCAATCAAGCTTGTTACAAGTTGTTAACAGCTTGTTCCAAACTTGTTACAACAACTGGGAACAAGTAGTGCGAACACAACTTGTCGACAGCTTGTGAACAGATTTGTAACAACTTGTTTGCAGACTTGTAACAACTTGTGCGTTTTTACGTGTGTACAATAAGCTGCCGTGGTTTGTGTCTGAATTATCTGAAAAAGATATCTCGAACGTGGTGGCCCAGTGTAGGTAGAGTGAATCCTACTGTACTTATACGTTGAACTCCATGTTTAGCTACATCTCTTCCAAACTTGGTACGGTATTTGAAATCAACTACGAACTTATTGTCGTTCACAAAGTCCGACGGTTACTTCCGACTGGCAGCCGACAAGATATCGTTGAAGTGACCAGTGAGTTTGGGATTGGAATTAATTGTCTATCTGTGAATGAAGCATTTTGTGTGACTGGATCCGATGATGGTTACCTGAGATTGTGGCCCTTGGATTTCTCGGGTGTTGTGTTGGAGGCAGGTAAAATTTTATGAGGTTATACACTTTCCCTTATATCAAGGCCGGATTTTGGTGGAAATATTGGGGGAGGTGGAAAAAAATATAGGGGCGGTGCAGCAGTCTAGCTCACAACCCCCGTGCATGGAAAGTTAGGGCTTAGAACGGGCCAAAGTCAACGACGTGACGTATGAATGTAGTGCATGTACATATGTATCAGCGTATTAATGAGTTATGATATAGTCTGTATACAGCTCGTTACAATTACTACAAAGTTTCTTTCAAAACATTGGATTAAAAAGAGTACTTGATACAGAGATGAGTGGCTATCACTGTTTCAATTTTACAGAAAAACTTTCTTTCGAAGTGTAGACCCTACGCAACAAAAAAATGTCAAATTTTCACTTTGATCTATAATTGAAACTTTCCCAAGGAGATGTGCATGACTTTTCAGGGGAGGTGCAAAAATTCTCAGGGAAACTACAAAACGATCTCAGGGGAGGTGCAAGAATTCTCAGGGGCGGTGCAAAACGATGTCTGGGGAGGTGCCCACCTCCCCAATCCGGCTATACCTTATATAGTTCATGATTATTATCAAGGCGTACGAGTTATCTGAAAATGGTGGTTACGAGCACAATTACATCTGATTTCTATTTTAAAATGTTGTAGAGCACGATGGTCCCGTATCGGCTTTGGATATCAATACAGATGGTCTTTCTGTCCTTGCAGCAACACTGACGGTAATTACAGTACAACACACATACCATAATGGAGGATTCTGTAGATGCAACTATGGGTCTCTGGCAGGAATCGACCCTGCGGCTTTGGGAGGTGCATGACTTCTCAGAGCAGGTGCAAAATTCTCAGGAGAGGTGCAAAACGATGTCAACGTATAAATTTATCATAGAAAACTGGCTTTGACAATACATGTACATTGCGCATAAATGGTGTACTGACATTTATTATATAGTAGAGATGAGACACTGAAAACTACACAGTGAGATATTTTCGATATCTTCATGCACTAGTGAAGATATCGATCACGTGACAATTTCAATTGACAATTTGCTTTTTTAGCGTGAAATTTCACATTTTTTTGTTTGGGACTATATAATAAACAGAACATTACACGGTGGCTTGAAGATATGACTCTTATCTTCTCGTGTTAAAAACAATATTTTACTCACTCGGTGCTCTCGTTCGTAAAATATTGTTTTCACCACTCGAAGATAAAAGTCATATCTTCAAGCCACCGTGTAATATTCTCTATCTATTCATGTTTTGAAGGGAAATATTGGAATACTGGACATCTCAACTCGCTCTTACAAAACTTTAATGAGATCACATACGGAACAAATCCTCAGCTGTTCCTTTGATTCATCGCGCCGTTGCCTGGTGACCGTGTCGGATGACGAAACAATTCGTGTATGGGACTTAGACACTCTGTGTCAATTGTACGACTTCCGAGCAGCCAATGAGAAGCCGTGTGCTGTGACGTATCATCCTCATCAGCAGGTGTTCGCATGTGGCTTTCGTAACGGAGCAGTACGCGTGTTTAATATAGGTAGGATTCTCGAGTCAATTTCCAAAATATAGCGATCTCTTTGTACCTTGTATTCTAACACTTTCCGTGTTGATATAACTGTATATCAATACGGAAAAAAGTTTTATATTTGTTTTATAATATAGCACAAAGAAATATAAAGAAAGAAATTTCCCGGCGTTTCCATGTTGACATTGAGTTATATCAACACGGCTCTTAGCCAATCAGCGTTCAGAATTTACAAATGCTATATTATAATTAACAAATATAAAACATTTTTCGTGTTGATATACAGTTATATCAACACGAGTGGAAATTGGGAAAACGAGAAATTGTGTGGAAACACGACGCCCGAAGGGCGGAGTGTTTTCACACAATTTCGAGTTTTCCCAATTTCCACGAGAGTTGATATGACTATATGTCAATACGGAAAAAATGTTTTATATTTGTTTTATAATATAGCACAAAGAAACATAAAGAAAGAAATTTTCCGACGTTTCCGTGTTGACATTGAGTTATATCAACACGGCTCTTAGCCAATCAGTGTTCAGAATTTACAAATGCTATATTATAAATTACTACATTAAAACAATTTAGACATCGTTCCTATCAAAGTACCAATAGTCAATAAAATTAAGACTGTTCTGAAATCATCAATTTTCTAAGATCTTTCTAAAATTGAATCAAATTATTTAAATCCCTTATACTGTTCGGTAATGAGTTCCAGTTTGAAACTGCTCTAATACACTGGAATAACTAGTTTATCCTTGTTTCTAATATTTCTCGAATGGATCGTACTTGTAGCTACAGTAGATTAACCGGGGTAGAAATTCAAACCGGGCTGAAAACTCTCCAACTAATCCTCCCCTTAGGCAGGCCCTACTTGTGATAGTAACATTTCATTTCTCTCTTCTCATCCAGCGACAGCCAGTATGCTTGCAGAACATAAAGAACACAAAGGAACTGTCACTGGGCTAGCTTTCTCACCGAACGGTGAACATATGTACACGGCTGGATCGCATGGGATCTTGGTACTATACGAGGGATCAACAGAAGATTTTAGTGTACAGAGAATGTTGGTGAACTCGGTGGCACGTGGGGATCATTTTGCTCCTGATGTCCTAACAGTCAGTGATGATAGTCAACGCTTGGCTATCATTGGTCCATCGGAGTATGTTATCACTGTTATGGATACTAGGACTTTGGACGAGGTTAGTAAAGAAGGGGTTGCTCTTACAGGTACTGCATGGTCTGCATGAACCTCTAAGGAGAACTGTTTAGAACTGATAGAACTATTAAGTATAAATAAAGTTAGTTTAGTTTAGGTTTCCTCCTGCAGTAACAATGAAACAAGGGATGAGCCTTTCTAGACTTCTAAACTTCCAGTCCGAATTTTCCTTTATATGTAGGTTCTTCGTATTGATATAACTACAATGAACCCGGAGAATGGATCAAACAATGTAGACTCTGCTGTCAGATTGTGTTATGCTCCAGCTTCGTTAAGACAACTATTGGTAGTCACTGCAGGTTGTAGATTGTTAAAACTTGATGCATACACTGGACAGCTGCTTAGTGAGGTAAGGCCCTAACACAAATAGACATAGCCAACTAAGGCAAATGTATACTCGTTGTCGCCCATATTACCTATATAATAATATACAAAAAATATTACTCAACTGTGATTGGTTGATTTCAGTGCAGTTAATCCCAAACAGCAGTGCAATTTTTTGTAATCACAGTGCAATTTTCTGTAATCACAGTGCAAGTCTGTAACAAACTGATCTGATTGGTGGAAAAACAATGTGATGATAAATCAACCAATCAGTTTAAAGCTGTTTAGTTTAAAGAAATCACAGTCACAAATTGCTTCAAAACAAAACAAGCACGGCGCCGCGCTACATAATTATAAAAGTTGACTTCGGTTGAAAAATATGGCTTTTATCTTTTTTTAATAAGTAATAGCATGGTTTCTCGTGAGATTAGGATAAACATGCACTCGTGAGTTTTTCAAAGACCTCAAATAACACTCGTCCTTCGGACTCGTGCTATTTTGAGGTCTTTAAAAAACCCACTCGTGCATGTTATATCCAAATCGCACTCGAAACCATGTTATTACCTATACCAAGTACAAGTCTGTTTACTACTTCATTTAGTACCGGCGTATGAACCCCACAAACCATGTGAAAAAACAACTAGCTCCTTGTTTTTCAACGTAGTTTTCGCCGGTTATATTGCCATAAATAATTTCTCGACTAATCACTTACTTGAACTTTCAGATAACAAATATACATCGTTCAAAATGTTCCAGTCTTGATCCATTCTCGACTGGGCACTTCTTAGCCACTGCTGGTGATAAAGTGATAAAAATATGGGACTATCACATGAGGATGGACCTAAACTTCCAGGTACAGTAAAGAAGACATTTGGACACGAGCGGAATTTGCCGTCACAATTTTGTTTTCTTTGAATGGTTACATATCTTTTTCAGGTAGTTCAAACACAAACCGCGGCAGCTTATTGTAGAATGCTACCTACACTGGACCACCACGTTTGAGATATCTTTTTCAGGTAGTTCAGACACAAACCACGACAGCGTATTATAGAATACCACCTACACTGGACCCCTACATGTTTGAACTATCTTATAAATCAAATCAGTTGAAGACTTGTAATTATAATAATTCAACTCTCTTTGATATTAGGTTTTCATTGGTCATTCCGAAGCAATAGTTAAAGTGTGCTTCACCCCAGACCTCCTCGGTTTAGTGAGCATTGGAGAGGCCATCTTTATTTGGGATTTTCTTGGTGATGGTCGCGTGCCTTTGGAGCCTGGGTAAGACATTTAATTTATTATAATTTTATGACTGTGTACTTGTTGAGGAAAGTGCTATATTTATTTCTCCGTAACTTTTGTTTTTTATAGAGGAAGGGAACAACCAACGAAGTATATCAGCGATGAACCAGGTACAAACAAATTTATAGACCCATTGCACTGACGTCACAAATCCTTAGAGTGTCCTCCAGATGCTCCCTAACAATATCTGTTCCGGTACAACAACCACATACAGCGCAAAAATTAACCATTTTAATACAAAATTATTATAAAGTTTTACAAAATTTGCTTTGTTTACAAAAGTTATATTATGAATAGATTGCTAATTTGTCCTCCAGATGCATCGTCAGCGGCGCTGTGACGTCATGTGCAATGGGCCTATTCCTGAAATCAGTTTGTTTTTATATCAACTAAATTATGTCTTCTGGATAGCTCTAACAATTCTAAGCTGTTCTCAGTTGAGGTCCAGCAAGGTTCAATATTTATTGATACGTACACTACAGTGTCATTACAAGAGGAAACGGGAGAAAATTTACGGTATTTGGTAGAGTCAAACTGGAAGCACTCTTCTTACATGACTGTGGTGACATTATAACCAGACAACTGTATATTGCAAGAATCGAACCGTGGCCACAGAGATACATATACTAACCATAGCCAACATTTTTCCTTTTCCCCAATACGAACAGGAAATATTAAGGGGACCGCAATTTATTCGTTATCTTTTAGACAAGAATGTTCGTGTTTCTGGTAACATGACGTTAAATCAAAATGCAATCGGCGAATCCGAACATCGCCCCAGGCCTCCGGTAACCGCCACCCAGATTCCCTCGCGACCTCGTCCCAGTCCTTCACCTACCAAACTCGGGCAGACTCTGGTAACTTCGCCAGTAAAACAATTTGATATGATGGATAGTCTTAACCCTTTGGTGACCAACGGAGTGACTGCACCGCAAAATACCCCGGAGAGGAAACAAATGGTAATTTATAAATGACTATTAGGGAGGGGGGAGGTCTTGGTTCACTTAGCACTAGTGCGCAGCAAGTGGTGGTGAGCCTTTGATTATGCATTTGTCATCATACAATTTTATTACGAGAGAACTTTGTAGGGTTTTTAACTTTTTATGAAGACGACTTAAAGACCCGTTTACAATTGCAATTTTTGCTTCGATTTTTAGGTGCGATTTTCGTCTGATGGATGTGAACAAGTGGATGAGCTATGAATGTTCAGATGAGGCCATCATGAGGGTACATGTACTCAGAACAGTCATAATTCATCTACTTGTTCACATGCTTCAGAAGACGAAAATCGCTCTAGAAATCGCAGCGGGTAGATCTAGCATGACGCCTCTGGAGAAATACGGCGAATATGAAGGTTGATACTGTATGCCGAATGCGGAAATAAATATGGTGAATGTGGAGATAAATATGTCGAATATGGAGAAAAACACTATCACAGCCACGAGTGGCGGAACTAAATAGATTACGTGGTCACAAGAAAGAACGATCTATAATTGTCGTGTAGCCGACATGGAGATAATTATGGCGAATATGGAGACAAATGTGTCAAATAAGAGACGAATGTGGCAACTTTGGAGATGAAATGGGGACCACAGAAATCGCAAAGCTGCGGATTGTAAAGGATATTTTACAGTGTAGAGTTGTTTGAGTGACATATTTTATTTCTGTCATCTAATAACTCCACTCTGTTAGAAATTTGTAGAAAGACTATGGCTGAATTTGTTACATGTGGAGATACTATGGTGATTATGGTGATGACTATGGCTAAAGTATAGACGACCATGGCGAATTGGAGATGACTATTACGAATATGGAGATGACTATAGAGAATCGCTGAACTAGATAGATTACGTGATCACAAGAAAGAACAATCTATGATTGTGGTGTAGCAATATGGAGATAATTATGAAGACAATTGTGTCAAATAAGAGACGAATGTGGCAACTTTGGAGATGAAATGGGGATCGCAGAAATTGGAAAGCTGCGGATGGTAAAGGATATTTTACAGTGTAGAGTTGTTTGAGTGACATATTTTATTTATATCATCTAATAACTCTACTCCGTAAGAAATTTGTATGATCTATCAAAGACTATGGCTGAATTTGTGTGAAAGACTATGGCTGAATTTGTTAAATGTGGAGATACTATGCTGAATATGGAGATGATTATGGCCAAAGTATAGACGACCATGGCGAATTGGAGATGACTATTACGAATATGGAGATGTCTATTACGAATATGGAGATGACTGTGGGGAATGTGGAGATGAAGTTGCGCTCGCAGAAATAAATTTAGTAAATATAGTATACGACGTTTTGTCTTACAAAGTAGAAAGAAATTTTCACAATACAGAACTGTTTGATAAGAAAAAAAAAATTTTTTGTCTTCAAATATTTCTGAGCCAAGGGAAATTTCGATCATTTGGAAAGCTTAGCTTCCCAAACAAACACGTATTTAAAGTGAAATTGAACGCCATAGACGTTTATTGCCTTGAATTGACATTAAGACAAGGATACAATGTTGATTGTGTGTTGTTTGTGAAACTGTGAAGTACTTTGAAGTATGCCAACAGAAGGGTCAAAATTTAAGTTTCAATTGATATAAAGTCTAGAATTTGATTTTCTAGGATGAAGTTAATTCGAAACTTTCAATCAACCATACAAGCCAGTCTGACACAGGTCATCCAAGTCCTACAGTTTCAAAACATTTTAAAAGATGCAAGAGTTCAACTGCTCTGCCTGAAAGGAAGTACAGTGCTCCTCCCAGTCAGGCTGGTCTCATTCTGCAGGCTGTATTGGACTACAATGGAGATGGGCGTGGCAACCTCTGCTGGCATCCGGAAACGGGTTAGTGAAAGATACCTCATTGAACTGTTCTCCCTAGAGGTACATTAGGTCAGGAGAAAATCTGATATAAACTGACGTTTCACTGGATGCATTAAGTTTCTTCTCTTAGTAACACTGGACCAGCAAGAGGTAGCACTTAATGTACCTCTAGGAAGAACAGTTTAGACTGATATAGCATTCCACTATCGCGTATAAATAAAGTTAGTTTAGTTTAGGTTTCTTCCAGTAGTAACACTGGACCAATACGGGATATCCTTACTGGACCTCTAAGAAGAACAGTTTAGAACTGATATAGAGCTATCCAGTATAAATAAAGTTAGTTTAGTTTAAGTTTTCGCCAGTAGTAACACTGGATCAATAACAGATGATTCTTACTGGACCTCTAATGGCTCTAAGAAGAACAGTTTAGAACTGATATAGAGCTATCCAGTATAAATAAAGTTAGCTTAGTTTAGGTTTTCGCCAGTAGTAACACTGGATCAATAACAGATGATCCTTACTGGACCTCTAACGGCTCTAAGAAGAACAGTTTAGAACTGATAGAGCTATCCAGTATAAATGAAGTTAGTTTAGTTTAGGTTTCCTCCAGTAGTAACACTGGATCAATAACGGTTGTCCTTAAAACTCTGGGACTGATAGAGCTATCCAGTATAGATCAAAATAGCTGTAAATAACCAATCATTCGAGGAGCTGACAGTGATACATTTTCCTCCCTAGGTTTATTCGTATACACCAGTGGATGTGTCATCATAATAGAAGATCTACACGATGGTAAACAACGACATTTACTCCGCCATGTTGAAGAAATCTCAACACTTGCGCTACAACACGATGTTCAAGTCTTGGCCTCGGCGTCTGGTTCTTCTGACATGGTCGCATCTCGTATCTGTATTTGGGACGTGCAGTCAGGCACTTGTAAAAAGGTAATCAGGAGTGCTCTTAACTTTAGTTATGCTGAATAGCTTTATTTGTTTTGAACTGTTCTCCCTAGGCGTACAGTAAAAGTCCTCATTTATTGGTCCAGTGTTACTATTGGAGAAAACCTAAACTAGCTTTATTTATACTGGACACCTCTATCAGTTCTAAACTGTTCTCCCTAGAGGTCCAGTAAGAGTCATCTCTTATTGATTCAGTGTCATTACAGGAGGAAACCTAAACTAAACTAACTTTATTTATACCGGATAACTTTATCAGTTCTAAAATGTTCTCCCTAGAGGTCCAGTAAGAGTCATCTCTTATTGATCCAGTGTCATTACAGGAGGAAGCCTAAACTAAACTAACTTTATTTATACTGGATAGCTTTATCAGTTCTAAACTGTTCTTTCTTGAGGTCCAGTAAGAGTCATTACTTATTCACCCAGTATCACTGCAGGAGGAAACCTAAACTAAACTAACTTTATTTATACTGCATAGACACCTCTATCAGTTCTAAAATGTTCTTCCTAGAGGTCCAGTAAGGATCATCTCTTATTGATCTAGTGTTACTGCAGGAGGAAATCTAAACTAAACTAATTTTATTTACACTGGATAGTTCTATCAGTTTTAAACTGTTCTTCCTAGAGGTTCAGTAAGGATCATCTCTTGTTGATCTAGTGTTACTACTGGTGAAAACCTAAACTGAACTAACTTTTTTGGTACACTTGCGTTAGCCTCCTCCGCAGGCATCTCACCCGAGGAATCGGAAAAAGTCTCCTAGAATTTTTTTTTCAAAATCCATTCGAAGGTTAAAACCCATAGAAAGGCCTGCGGAGGAGACTACACTTGCGTATTTTACGCCGTTTCTGCCTAAGATTTTAAACATACAGCTATTTCAATTAAGGTTTTCCACGAGCAAAGCGGAAAAGTCGAATACGAGCGCGAAAGGTTGCTGGGAACCGCTTTGAAAATTCATCAATTTGTTAGCGATTCCCAGCAGCTTTCGCGCTCGTATTCGACTTTTCCGCGTTGCTCGTGGACAACCTTAATTGAAATAGCTGTATACAGAGGGATGTTCTTCCTTCATTTGAATCATGTCTATTTTCAGGTCCTTACGTACCACGCATACGAAGTTGTTTGCTTGGCATACTCAAGGGATGACCGCTTCCTCATATCAGTCGGGGACTATAGGGAATGTTCAGTGGTAATATGGGGTACCAAGGACTACAATGTACTCACATCGTCGTACACTAAATCTCCTATCCATAACCTCTCCTGGGATCCTTACACTATGAATGAGTTTGTATCTGTAGGACAAGATGGGAATGTCTTGTTTTGGCTGCTGGATGAAACACGTGGCTCATTTAACTTAAATGTGAGTTGTATGCTCTGGTATATAATTGGTAAATGAAGATTGTTATACATTTCAGGGTGTCCCCTTGAATTGGAAAAAAATTCCAGGACTGGAAAGTCCTTGAAAATCAGTAGAAGTCCTTGAATGTCTTGGAATTAATTTCCTTAACCTCCAGCTGTGTCAACATTAGTGATTTTGATTAAAGTTAATGAATAATGTGAATTATTTACGGCAAATCCGTGCCATTTTCAAAGATTTTTCCCAGTTTTAGGTCTTCGAATTTGCTGAAAAAGAGCCTTGAAAGTCCTGGAAAAGTCCTTGAATTTCACCTTCACCAAAGGATGGACACCCTGACATTTATTTCTCTTGTGAAATGCTGACTCAACTATTGTCACATTTGAAAATTTCACAATTTTCTCAACAATGAAACTTGTGCCTAATATGTGTTAGATTCTAGCATCTTCAACATGGATTTGATCACAAGTTTCCAACCTGATACAAGACGGAGAAAACTTTTAAAAAAAAATTTTGATTTAATATTTAGTGAAGCCTAACTCATACACTGGAAAAATTAGTGAAATTCAGAATATGGAATTTGCGATTGAATCACTAAATCCATAATATAGCCATACTATTTCCATATACTATATCCATAGTACGGAAATTGCAATTAGTACGAAAATTGGATTTCCTTACTATTTTCAACTAAGATCTATACTATTTCCATAGTAACGATCTTGAAAAAAAAATTCCAGTGGTACAGTATTAATATGTTCCAAACTAGACTGCATATCAAATTAAACTTTCATTCTGAATAAGGCACAAAACTGTGTTTAGTATAGAATTATCGTAGTTTTAAGGTATAAACATTTCTGCAGTGGCAGAAATTCTGACAATTTTGAGCTTATATTTCTTAAATTTGTGTTTTAGGTTTGTGAAGCGAAAGTGCCCGATGACTTACTCTATGCTACCAAGGAGGTTTGTTTTTTGTAACCTACCTATTTTAGGAATCTTCGCTTTATAAGATCAAATGCTTTCTAGGAACAAAAATTTAAACAATACATGACGCTCAATATATTTTTCTTAACCAGGAAGACTCTATGGTTCACTTCACATGTGCGTGTTATGCTGGTGATAGCATACTCTATGTTGGTAATAGTGCAGGTAGGTTTACAGCTTGTGTTGGCTGGTGGTAATTTGACTGCTAGCTGGGAGACCTTAATTAAGTTCAACTAACTTTGTGTACACTGGATCGCTCTATCAGTTTTAGACCTTTAAAACCTTACTGATTATCTTGAGGTATTCATGAACTGTACAAATATCATCTTGAAATGTTATCTTTTAGGAATATTATCGGCATGGGATACAAGACAGAATAAATGTTTTATGCATTGGGAAGCGGACGACTCTGAAATAGGTAGATTGCATATTTAATGCTATTAGCTGTCAAATGAGACCTTTATGGAATGATTGGCGTTAAAATGACCAAATGCGATCTTCGCACGTTTCCACCTTTGGGATTTAATGTTATTCCAATTTTCGAACATTTGCCCAAATGCTTGTTCCCTATTTGGGAAACACATATATGCCATTGTGAGTCCAAGGGTCTGCAAGCTTCCAGTACATGCGTTGCGCCATATTTACTCAAGGGATTTCTACACCCTGTATAATGAAAAAAATTAACATAATTTCCTCACTCTGATAACTGCAGGTTGACCACCATCAGCTGCGCGATGGTGCTTAGTGAAATCCGTTTATTCATCGTACTTTTATTGAAACTGTCCGTGAGATCGGCTCCTCTAAAACACCTCTTGCCTGACTACTAACATTTCTTTCCGCGTAGATATAATAGTTTGTCATCGTGGATCGTTGATCACCGGAAGCTCATCGGGACATCTTCGTTTGTGGTCGGTGGTTGGCGTCGGAGAGATGAGGCTACCGGGAGAAAACAATGTGTGAGTAATGGTCCCTACTAGACCTTTTGGGAGAACAGTTTAGAACTGATATAGCTATCCAGTATAAATAAAGTTAGTTTAGTTTAGGTTTCCTCCTGTAGTAACGCTGGATCAATAAGATATGACTCTTACTAGACCTTTTGGGAGAACAGTTTAGAACTGATAGAGCTGCCCAGTATTAAATAAGTTAGATTAGTTTAGGTTTCCTCTTGTAATAACACCAGATCAATAAGTGCTGACTCTTACTGGACCTCTAGGGAGAACAGTTTAAAACTGATAGATCTACCCAGTATAAATAAAGTTAGTTTAGTTTAGGTTTTCTCCTGAGTAACACTGGATCAATAAGGACCTATTCAGCTTGGTAAGGTATCCACTGTGGTAACATTTTCTTGTTTAGATTAAGTCAAGATGGTTTGGTGATTGAAGATGAGATGTCATTAGACGCTGGCGTTGTTTCTGCCTCATTTGATGCCTCGTTAGAGATGGTAAGGGACCACCCAAACACTTACCTAATTTTCAGTATATTTACTCTGTTCTAATGTCGTGATGCTAAAATCAATTTACTTTAAATTATTTCAGGGTATTGTAGGTACAGTCGGTGGTACACTGTGGTATATAAACTGGACGGAGAGAACGAGTATTCGTCTTGTCAGCAGCCACACACAGAAGGTATATATTGAAGAAAAGTTGTCAATTGGTGATGTCATGAAATGACGTTCGTTTTCCGCTTACATTTCAAATACCATTAAAGTAGATCTAAGATTGTCTCTAAAATAAGTACAACAGTTTAGTTGTAATCCAACATTCGAGGGGGGGGGGGTTAACCCCCCGTCCCTAGAATCTCTCTATCTTATAAAGTGTTCAACCCCACCAAAATTTTGCTTCACCCCTCCTATTTTGTGTGAAAGTCGTTAACCCTAACGCCTAACCCCTGCCGAAGCTCGCTCAGTGGTGCCGCTTGCACCCCAGTAGAAATGTTTTCACCTCTCCTTTAAAAAAATGAAAATCCGCCCTTGCAATCCGCTTGACTTTGTTTCACTGGGTTTTTGTGTATTAGATCAATTCTCTGATGGTAAGTGGCCCCGATGACAAGTACTTTGCGACGTGCTCTGATGATGGTAGCTTGAGAGTTTGGACGGCGGACGAACTTGAGCAAACTTTACAATTCCAAGTGATGGATCAGGTATGTGGACTGCTGCAATAGTCAGTGCATGTGACTTTCATCTCTGTGTCCAAGGTTCGATTATTGCAATATACAGTTGTTTCATTACAATTTCTAGACCCTTCCAAACGCAGTTTTTATCTCTGGTATCCTGTTTTCCACCTGGGCCAGTAGGAATGGCCCTTACTGGACCTCTTGGGAGAACAGTTTGGAACTGATAGAGTTATCTAATATAAATACAGTTAGTTCAGGTTTTCTCCTGTACCAATACGAGTTGTGCTTTAATGAACCTCTATGGAGAACAGTTTCGAACTGATAGAGTCATCCAGTATAAATAATGTCAACTTGGTTTAGGTTTCTTCCTTTTGTAAAACTGGACCAATAAGGAAAATTTCTCTGGGTATTCCTATTTCCTCCTGTAGTAACACTAGACCAATAAGAGATGGCCTTACTGGACCTCCACGGAGAACAGTTTAGAACTGATAGAACTATCCAGTACAAATAACGCTAGTTGAGCATAGTTTTGCTTTTTTTTCCGTTTATTCTAGCGATGTAATTGCGTATCGTTCTGTCCAACACCACAACCTGAACCAACCAAGAGTCTCACCAGTGATGGTCAAATCCTAGCTACAGTTCACCCTCATGAGAAACCAGCTGAGAAACCATTGAGACCATCACACTGTGTAGCTGGTTATGATGATGGTACCGTACGATTGTTTGATCTAGGGAGGGTTGAGATGATCATGAAGATTCACCCTCATGCTGGAGCAGTGACGGCTATAACATTCTCTGCTTATGGTGAGTGATGGTGGTGGTGGTGATGATGGTAATGGTGGCGATGATGGTGTTGGTGATAACTTTGGTGGTTATGGTGTTGTAATAGTGATGGTAATGGTGATGGTAATAATGGTGTTGATGGTGGCGATGGTGATGATGAAGGTGGTGGTCATTTATATTTTTTCTCAGTATCCAACTGGGATACCAGGATTCAAAGTTTAGTATCCCCCTGAGAATCCAGTATCCCACTTCTGGATACTGGTTACCGGTACCATAAGTATTATACCCTGTCCCATCCAAATACGTTTCCATAACTCTCACTGTTACAAATTACAATAACAACAGGAGATTCAACAGTGAACAACTAAACAATTCATTAATACACTAAAATCCACATAATCCTTCAACAAACTTCTATGTGCTAGTCTTCAATGAGGAAAGACTGGTGGTAAACTAATAGTAGTCAAAAGCTATCAGGAACCTGTCAGAGGTGTTTAACATTTCCTTAATGTTTGAAATGTTCTTAGTATCCACTTGGGATACAAGTCATTCACAGTTTGGTATCCAAAACCAAATTTTTGGTATTCTGTGGATATCGGGATACTGTAAATTTCAGACCCTGGTGACCCCATGATGATTGTTGTAGTAGTTATGGTGGTGGTGATGATGGTTTTTGATGATGATGGTGGTGATAATGGTGATGATGGTGATGGTGGTTGTGGCGATGATGATGGTGGTTATTGTGATGGTGGTGATGATGGTGGGGTGATGATGGTGGTAGTTGTGGTGATGGTTGTGGTGATGGTATTGATGATGGTGATGAGGATGATGGTGACGATGTTAATAATAATTCTAATGATTATGATGGTATTGATGGTTATCTGATAGTCTAATATTGTTTTTCAGGTCGTGTATTTATGAGTGGTGGTGTAGATGGTGTGGTAGCTATCAGCAGTCCAGCCACAGGTCTTACTGTCCGCTTAATTCAAGACCATAAAGGAGCCCCGATTACAGATATGGATATTGCACCAGAAAAGGTAAACGTGCATTGCTATTTTCACCAGTTTGATTCCTGAATTATGCTGTTGTCTGATTATAATTGTGAGAGTGATATTTAGTTTGACACTTTGTCTTTACCAAAACACTGCAGGATTTCTCCAGAAATTCTGATTTTCTTACGTTGTAATACTAGACCTGTGAAATATGGGTCTTACCGCACCTCAAGAAAGAACAGTTAGAAGCGATAGAACTATCCAGTAGGAATAAAGTCCGCATAAGTTTACTTTTCCTCTTGAAAGATTTTCCTAGGGAGAAATGTTAGAACTGATAGAACTATTCAGTATAAAGAAAGTTAGTTTAGTTTAGATTTCCTCCTGCAGGAACACTGGATCAATAAGAGATGATCCTTACTGGACCTCTAGGAAGAACAGTTTAGAACTGATAGAACTATTCAGTGTAAAGAAAGAAAGTTTAGTTTGGTTGAGTTGAAATGAGTTGCATTTGGTTTAGTTATTGTATTAAAACTGTTCTCCCTGTTTATTGATCTATTTAGGATCATCACCCGTCGTTCAGTTCCCCACGGCTGTGGCTCATTGCAAGTGCTGATCGTAGAGTGAGCGTTTGGAGCACTGATTGGTCGAAAGATTTCTGCGAGCTCGTTGATTGGTTAACTTTTCCCGCGCCTAACATTGCGCCAGATGGCACTGCCCTGAAGAAAGATGATGCAGTAAGTTTCTCATCATTGTTTTGCGTTTATTCGAAAATACTGTATACAAGCGGCAACTAAGTTCTGAAATATTTTTGTTTTCTTTATTAGTCTTCGTATTCTCGTCTTCCACCAAGCCTTGCAAGGTTCTCTCCCAGTGAACCCGATATTATAGTCTACACTGGTTACGGTTTGAGAAAACAGATTCAGTTCTACAGCTTATCACAAAGGAAGGTCAGTCAGGCTGTCCACGGGCCTTGAAAATCCTGGAAAGTCCTTGAACTTGAAGAAGAAAAAAATTATTAAAAATGTGTGAATTTTGTTTAGGTATTCCGTACCATCTCCTTAACACAGTGGGCGTCATGTTTGGAGATCTCACCCAAAGGTCACTTGATTGCTATTGGAACTAAAGGTATTAATTTAAAAAAAAACTATATAGAACTGATGCAGCTATACAGTATTAATAAAGTTAATTTAATTCAAGTTTCCTCCTATAGTAATACTGGATCAGTAAGGGATGATCCTTACTGGACCTTTAGAACTGATAGAGCTATCCCGTATAAATAAAGTTAGTTTAGGTAAGCCCCCTCTTGTAGTAACACTGAATCAATAAGTGATGATTCTTACCAGACCTCTAGGAAGGACAGTTTAGAAAATAAAGTTAGTTTTGTTTAGGTTTCCTCGTGTAATAACACTGGATAAAAAAGAGACGATTCTTACTGGATCTCTCTTTAGAAATCCAATATAATTACAGAATATTCTACCAATTCAGTTGCTCATACGATCCAATTAATTTGAGACATTGTCACATGGTCAATGATGATTGGTCAATTATACGAAAACCAACGCCGATTGATGCATTCATACAAAAACCTTATCGATTATACCAGTTAAAAGTTATCAAGGTTTCAAAGAACTCTTCAAATGAATTGGTTCTGGTGAGGAAATGAACTGGCAGAATATTTTAGGAACACTTCCATTGCCTTGACTGTAATGATTTAGTTTAGGTAAAACACTGGCCTATGTCATGTTACCAGCCAGAGTTTAAACCATTAAGTTGTTGTGCTCCCTATTTTGTTATTTTACTCTGTCTAACACCAGACGATTTTACTCGTTGAGGGAGAGTGCTGGCACTCGATGGGTTAACTTAGAAAAGCGTTTTCTAAACTTTTCAGAACGACTAGTGAAAGTTGTGGATTATTGCGAAGGAAGTTTTCAAGATTTCGATGGACATTGTAATGCCATTTCCAACGTGAAGTTCTCACCCTCGGGAGAAAAACTGTTCTCTGTTGGATTTTCTGACGTTTTTCTGTGGAAAGTTCTGATTTAATCCATTCCCAACGCCGTAGACTCTCTGCAGAAACCCCTGACGAGAGTGAGTCGAGGACCGAGCTGATGGTATACGAGGTTGATCGCCATGTTCTGCACCCGGCTTAAAAATACTACAGCTTGTCAATAATATGTGTTCGTACTGCTTGTTCCCTGTTGTTGACAAATCTGGAACAAGTTGTCATCATCTTGTAACGAGGTTGATGAGGCCAACAGACTCGCAACAAGTCTGATATCGTCTGCACACAACAAGTTGACAATACCAAGCTCGTAGCAACTTGTTACGAACAGCCTGTATTTGCCTTGTTGGAACAACTTGTAGCAATCATATTCACCTGAGTACACAACACCAACACAGCAAAGTCTGTTACCGTCATCAACCTTGTAACAAGGTGATATATATAACAACTTGTTCCAGATTTGCCACAACTGGGAACAAGCAGTGCGAACACATCCTGATATCGGCTTGACAACATGCAACCTTGTTACAGCTTCTGTAACAACTTGCGCGTTTTTACGAGTGTAAGTTACTACAGGAAATGAAATGAAAAGTTCCAAGAATTTCAAGCAAAATAATGTTTAGTTGAAGCCCCACCTGTTGAACAATCGCTGTTATAAATGTAAATATGTAAAGAAAGCATCACTGGCCCTGAAAATCAAGCACATTTTGTCCCTCTCTAAAATCCCTTTGCATAAAACTAGATGGAAACATGGTATGGCAGGCATGAAGAACAGTGGAATTTCTCATTCTCTCAAACTACCACGAGTGTTTCTATAACTGTATACAAAAACAGGAAAAAGTACTTTCTACTTCGTTTATAATATAACTCAAGAAAAGTTTTTATAGCCATTTTTTATATCGATTAATTTACAAATTCTTATTTCCTCGGCATTAAAGTGCGCTCGTTCAGTTGCTTGGGCTTTACTCCTCAATTTGATTATAAAATAGTCAAGTGCTCTATTTAAACTGAGAATTCTCTTTTTGTCTTGTGATTCTTTAATTCATTTGGTTGTCTAAACTAATATTGTCACACATTTTTTCGATTACAGCGCGTGCTACTCGACCAATCAACGCTCACGTACTGTAAATGGTATACTGTATACCACTATAGTAGGTAAGGTTTGGGCGTCGCATTTCGTCTAAATTATTCAATATTTATAGATACTCAACGTTATCCAATCGTTTATATTTCCGTTCAAAAACCCGGCATCATAATGTTTAAAAAAATTAAAAAGTTGAATATTACATCCGCCATCGGAATGGGCATTACTTCGTCTGCTTTGAAAGTCGAAGAGAAAACTCCACTCTTTTACAACGGAGCTAAAATTTGTGAGAAAAACGATAAGGCACAGGAGACGTTTAGGCTTTATTACATATCTCAAAGCGATGTATATGAGGCTGTATTGTATAATCCAGACGAAAGGACAGTGTGTTTGAGTGTCTTTAGAATTGAAGATGAAAGAAAAGCAAAAGATATGTTTCGGTGAGTTCGAAATGATTTTAATGCGTTAGTTAATGAAACAGTTTGTGTTTGTGTTTGTGAATTATTAAATAGATATACAGCTTTGTTGTGCATACAGTGTGTATTAAAATTTATATATACTTGAGTTACTTCGCAGAAAGCCATTATCGGCTTCGATGATTGTTTAATAAATTAAACTGTGCAGTTAATATAATAATTACTGTAATATGAAATGTCCGCGAATAATTAGAATTTATTAACGAATTAATTTTAGATCTGAACATGATTTTATAATAGACTCACTCTCTGGCATTCGCTGCTGCATTCTTGAAATGTCATATAATTTTATATTGTACAGTCAGTCTCAAATATGGACCACTGATTATGGACACTGAACAGAAAAGTGTATTAATTTAAATAATATGTGACTTCATGCATTTCATTAAAATGAAAAAAGTTTCAGGGGAAAAGCAGGGTTGACAAATCAAATTGACTTGGTATTTGAGGGTTGTATCTAGATACAACTTTCCTAGCAGGGTTGTATACATGCACATACATATACCTTAATTCTAGCAGGGTTGTATTGAGACACAATGCTTTATTGCTTACCACAAAGTTTCTTCATTACAATTAGTACATTAACTACAAAACATTGCATTAATATGTTTATCACTGTTTCAATTTTACAGAAAAACATTCTTACAAAGTGTAGACCCTAATTAAGCAACCAAAAATGTCAACTTTTCACTTTCATCCATCACTGAAATTTTCCAAAAAGGGGAGGTGCAAAAATCTGGGGGAGGTGTAAAAATTCTCAGGGGAGGTGTAAAAATTCTCAGGGGAGGTGTAAAAATTCTCAGGGGAGGTGTAAAAATTCTCAGGGGAGGTGTAAAAATTCTCAGGGGAGGTGTGCACCACCAGCTCCACACACTTTCCCTCAAAATCCGGCCATGCTTCACACTGCAGCCTTCTGCCATCATCTCTACCTAAACTGCCACCAACCGTTTGAAAACCTTATGGCCTTTTATAATATGTTCAGGCAACTGTGTGAGCGTCTTACACCATTCTACCAGTCATCATCAAGATGCTACAAGACAGCAACATTACAGTCTTTGCTGAACTGTTTGGAAGAACATCCAGACATGGAACTGGCTGTAGTTGCTAGAACTACTGGTCTAACTGAATGTCTAAAACACGAGAAGATTGCAGCAAGTGCCAAAGCTGTCGACGCCACAGATGCTGGGAATACAGAAACCTCTCTTCTACAGGCAACGAAGGTATCACCTCTATGACCAGGATTTCGTTCCTGCAATATATAGTTTAGGCTGTTGGCAGTTGTGGTAGATAGATTTAATATTATGTACGTATGTTTAAATTTATAGATATTTTGGCTTTTCGATATATAGAGGATATTACATGGCAGCGCGAAGATATGACTTTTTATCTTCAAGTGGTGAAAACAACATTTTACGAATGAGCACAGCGAGTGAGTAAAATATTGTTTTTAACATGAGAAGATAAAAGTCATATCTTCAAGCCACCGTGTATTGTTCTGTTTATTACAGTATATAGTGCCAAGCAAAAAATTGTATAAATATTAAAAGTCACGTGATTGATATCTTCACTAGTGAAGATATGGAATATATATGTCACTGTGTATTTCTCAGTATCCCACTCTCTACTATATAATAAATCAGCTAGTATATTGAAAAATATTAAAATTTGTTACAGATTTTAGTATTGACTGTATTGTATGCTTCATCATACAATTTACGTTTTAGTTTGGGTTTAAAGGAAAAATGGAGAATTTTGTTTCGAAAGCTGGTGCAACGTCGCTTACGAAGGGTGATGAGAAAGGCAACACTGCTGTACATTATGCTGTGGGACAGCCTGAATTATTGGACAAGATATTGCTTAGGGCAACTGAACTTGGTAAGGGACTGGTCATTAATTAGAGGGGGAGGGATGGTGCAAATGAGATACACCATGCTTACTATTTTCTCGAGTGTGTATTTCATAATTTCCATACCCAGCGTAAGCAGAAAGGTAAAGTCTGCCGCGGCTGGGTCTTGAACCCGCGACCTTCGAATTACTAGATCGACGCTCTACCAACTGAGCTACACGGTCAGACGGATTTAAGACTGGAAATTATGAACTATATACTGAATGTCATAAACATACTCGTTTATATTAATTCAGCATCGAACCATACTAGTTCTGCAAGTGTTATGTTGTGTTATTGTTCACTCCGTAATATGATAAGTAGAAAATGTTAAGCAATTAAATGCTTTGTTTTCTTTGACCCTTCCCAAAAGTTGCAGCACAATTTGGCTAGCCCCCGTCCCACCCAACTGTTATTGGAAAGTTTATTGGCATGTTGGTTTTGTTCATATTTACATTTTTGAGTCTGTGATATTATAAACACAATACGTATCCTTATTTTTACAACTTAACCATATTCCTGTTATTTTAGGTATACCAATATTTGAACTTTAATACATTGTATATAAAATAAAATAAAATGTTCATTATTCTTGTCTGCATGTTCGCTTGCATGAAAACATCTGCCCCCCCCCCTTTTCCTTTGCATAGAAATTGGTGACCCTACCCTATTTTACACCACCCCCTCCCCCTTTTTACACTAGCCCTGTCCCCCCCCCTAATTTATGACCAGTCCCCAAATACATAACATGTCGTGATACTCTGTATATTCACTAGTATAAAGCACATGTAGAAACATCGAACTTCTGGTATTTTTCCGAAGAGCCTGGGAACGAGGTTGCACTGGCTGTTTGAGATTTTATCACATGTAATTTTCCCAATTCATGGCAGTAACTTCTTGACAAATGGCCTAATTGCTTGAACGTAAACGGTTGTGTTATTTACTTAATGACGAGACAGACAGCTCCAGGTTCGCGAACCTGGAGCCAGCTCCAGGTTCGATTTCAACCTGGAGCTGGAACGACTAGTTTGTAAATAAACTGCTTTGGCCGCTTAACCACTAATGGAAATCCAATTTTTTTGAAAGACCATTTTTACTTGTCATATTCCTTAGTACGTGAGGGAAAATGAAGACATTATTCCGTTCCGTTCGTCCATGGTAGCTTGTGAAAGATCACTGTTTTTTTCTGACAAAGGGGCTGGTCAGCGGTGGGATAGATCGCAAAGCTCGTTTAAAACCTTATTTTTTACCTTTATAACGAAAAACGTAAAATTTTGATTGATGACCATTCTAGAGAATGTATTCAAAAGTAATGTCAAGCGTTGAACTTATTTCCATATCGCGAAACCGCGATAAATAACTCGCGCAAAGTTGAACTGTCTAATATCACGCAGGGCCCGGTTGTGTTAATTTTATCCTTCCGTAAATACAACAACTTTGGTATCCGTACATTTACGCTTTATATGAGTAATAATTTATATGTTAATGACATAATATCATTTGTTGCGCTTTTCTGAAGAACTAATAAACGTTGTTTAGGCCGAGAAAATAATATTTCACGCTTCTCTCTTATGCAACCGTGGTTGCAACCGGCGCAGCCGTCGCAATGGTCGCGAAAGACGCCTTAATATACTTGTATATATTTAATACAGAGTGTGGTTGCAACCGGCGCAGCCGTCGCAATGGTCGCGAAAGACGCCTTAATATACTTGTATATATTTAATACAGAGAGTGGTTGCAACCGGCGCAGCCGTCGCAATGGTCGCGAAAGACGCCTTAATATACTTGTATATATTTAATACAGAGTGTGGTTGCAACCGGCGCAGCCGTCGCAATGGTCGCGAAAGACGCCTTAATATACTTGTATATATTTAATACAGAGTGTTTTTACGAATCGAACAATTTGTTATAGCATGCAGCTGGACTATAAATGGAAAAGATAACCTTGCTGAGGCTTCATGGTATAGATATAAATTGTAGATAGCGAAAAAAAACACTACAAAAACGGTTAAATTGATACAATAGGCCTATCTAAAGATTATTGTCAATTAATATTGACAGTATTGTTATATTACTATTATACTTTATTAATTCTCCCAGTGAGCTTTTCAGAATTAACTTTCAGATAAAAAATCTGAAAGTTAACATGCATCAATTGCAATGTGTATTATTAAGAGCAACGCATGAAGCTAGAAAACTCAACGTTAACTATAATTAAAGAATCTAAATAGTATCAGCTATTGAAAAAAAATGCTGCGAAAGAAAGTGTGGCAAAAAAATTCGTACATGGTGATGGGATAAAACAAATCTTGCACATAACGATCCCAGAAAAAATTCCCTGCCAGCAGTAAATCACCTCCCCCCCCCCCTCAAAAATTAAATGGTCGGCCCCTAAATCAGTATAGCTATTTCGTACGTTATAGTTCGCTTGCATTAAGCTAAAAAATCAGTGACTCTTTCAAGTTAGGAGCAGTATAATCGTTTAGAATTTTATACAGAAGAATGGACTTCATGTTCTGTCTTCTACTTTTTAAAGTTCCCCAACCAAGAGTTTCAAGAACAACAGTTTCGTGACTTGCGCCAGCAATTATTATTGCCGCACGATTTTGAAATTTCTAAAGTTTATCAAGCAGTTGTGTGCCACAAATGTCCCATAGTGGAGAACAGTAATACGGCTGAATCATGGCGGCATTATATTGTAAATCATTTGTAGTGAGCTTATTGGAATGGAATTTTTGCCAGATCCAACTTTTTTCAAGTATCTTATCCATCTGTTTATCCAATTTTAAGTTTTAATCTAGTAATACGCCCAGACATTCGAAAGAGCTAGTTCCACAAAAAAGTTTGTTGTGTAAGAACACAGGATAGTCGAATGACCTTTATTAGTTAGATTATATGACGATCCTATATTATCATGTACTTAGTTTTAGTAAGATGGTGCTGCAGTTTGGTTACTGGCTAGCCAATCACTGATTTGTTTTAGGTCAGAATTTAATCCATAACATAATTAAATAGAACATAGTCAAATCAGGGGCGTACCGAGCGGGGGTGTTGGGTGTTGGGGGGTTCAATGTTAGGGGTGTGAAACCCCCAATTTTTTGAAAATCGTCGATAAAGTTTGAAAATGGTCCGTAAATTGATACGATCGTTGGTAAATATACCGACTTTACGTTCTGTTCGCACTCGCGAAATTTTTAAGACGCAGTTGTCACTACATGGTTCTAACCCCCCCCC